ATCCCGAAGGAGGAGGCCGAAGAAAGGGGGGACTGCCGGGGGAGAGCAAGAAGAAGAAGAGGAAGAAGACGAGGGAAAAAAAGGAGTTTGCCAACAGCACCGGAGGATGCCCCGAAAACACGCTGGACGTGTGGCGCCATCTCGGCTCGTTTTTTTTCTTCCTGCTTCGCCGGCACTCTCCGCACACCCCCCAGGTACTTGTTCCTCGTGCTTTTGTTACTTCGCCCATACTAATTCTTCGCGAGCTGCACGGCGCGGCTCGGTCTGCGTGGGGAGCGAGGCCCCTCGTAGGGCCCCGCCGCGGTGGGGATACGGACTTACGTATACGGACCCCGGCGAGGCGAGGCGAGGCAGACCGACGCGCGACGGTGGGGCACCGTGCACCGTCCAGTGTCGGATTAAGCTGCTTTCGCACCCTCTTCGCTCCTCGATTAGATCGCAATTTTAAGCCCGCCGAAATTTCGACGGCCCCCTCCGCCGCGACCCCCGGCCGCGTTTTATGCTCGGTCATCCGTGGATCCAGAGATTAGGGGTCCCCGAACCCCGTCGCGATGATACTAATTTCTTTAACGCGGCTTCTTTTCTTCCTACTCGAGAAGCAGGATTTTCGAGGTTCGAGAGTTGCACGGAGTGGCTCGGAATGTACACTTTGTAAGATTTACAATTATTGCATTTCGTTCAACGATAATTGTATCGCGGAGGAGCTGTCTCTGTTCTGTGGCAAGATAGCAGAAGGTAGCGGAAAGAGAAAATTAGCGTGTCGCTTATTTAAATTTGCAAACGCTAGGCAAACGCAAAGGCAAGTCGATCGAATTGTCGCTTATTAAATTGCGCATTGTAGAATCTCATCGACGTCTAGGACATTTTTGGACGAGAGTATGGATAAAATGAGCAAAATTTGATCGCTTACAGCGTTCGGTGCGAGGGCAGGGATTTTGCGGCGCGCCGTAGCACATCGGCGCCCGAAGTCTCGACGCTTCGAGGATGTTATTTCAGGAAGCCGATACGCGTCGGCCAGAAATCATTTTCCATCGAGTTCGGTGCACGATCTCGAGGCTCGAAAGGGGCCAGTTGGTGTGTGCACCGCTTAAAGAGCCGTCCGCCGCTCCGCGCAGCGCCGCGCCGCGCCGGTGTGGCGACCGCAGTCAGAGCCGCGGACCACATACCTGCAAACGAACGTTCTTAAAAGGGAGGGCAGAGCCCAAGAACAGGTAGTTAAAATGTAATGACATTGTTGTTTTTAATGCTCGCCTCTTTAAAACGGGCCCTTTCGTCTTCCTCGTGCCTGGCCCCGCTACTTCGGCCATCGCAATCTCTCTCTCTCTCTCTCTTTCACACATACACTCACACACACACACACACTCTCTCTCTCTCTCTCTCTCCTTTCTGTAACAAGAGAAAGGGCAAAAAACAAAGAAAAAGAAAATTAACCGAGAGTCTGGAGCGTCCGATTCGATTCGATTTTCTCGTGCCACCCTCTCGAAAACCGTCCCCTTTCTCCGAAGAAGGCTCCCGGAGGGCGGAACAAAAAGAATCCTGCTTTATCTCGACCGATTTCACGGGGTATCGGTGTTCCAAGGTGCGAGGAAAGCAGCAATTTGTACTTGTTCAATGATCTTTTCGGATAATCTGTTGGGTGGCGGGCCGCGAGATGACGGAGCAGTTCTCCGCGACCCCACGGACCCCGGTCACGGTGTCGAGTGTCACGGCTCCCCCGGTGGACCCCCTCTCCAGCTGATTTTTCATAGTTCGTTACCGGGGACCACACACCGACGCGAGTCGCGAGGAATGCCCAGGAACACGGGACAACGTGTCAAAATTCGCCTCGCCGCCGCGCCGAACGACTTAATGAGAGGTTGAAGACACCAATTAAACCGGAGGTATTATTGTCCATTTTCTGCGGCCCAATTACTCGGGAGGCGCGAACACGGTCGCATTAGCCGCTCCGAAGCTACGCCGAGACCTGGCTACCTGCAGCTTCGAAAAGAAGCGCACCGTAAGATGTAATTAACTGCACACCGCTCCTCCGGGAACGAGACCGGTTAATGATATTACGGGATGTGTTTGCGGGACCCGGTGATACGGTCAACAATGGCCTCGATTTCGCAGCACAACGAGACCTTTTGTCGAGACCGCGAGAGGAATTAAGCGTCGTTGCTTTTTCTTCGGGCCTTCCGGTGTTATTTCGACAGCGTTATTTTTTTTGTCAGCTGCTTCGTCACGGGTTCGAGCTAACTGCGATACCGACAGCGGAGCTCGAGAATCGAAAGAGAGACTCGTTTGCTTCGCGCAAGGAAAATCAACCTCGGCTCGCGCGTCTGCCCCNCTTTCACACATACACTCACACACACACACACACTCTCTCTCTCTCTCTCTCTCCTTTCTGTAACAAGAGAAAGGGCAAAAAACAAAGAAAAAGAAAATTAACCGAGAGTCTGGAGCGTCCGATTCGATTCGATTTTCTCGTGCCACCCTCTCGAAAACCGTCCCCTTTCTCCGAAGAAGGCTCCCGGAGGGCGGAACAAAAAGAATCCTGCTTTATCTCGACCGATTTCACGGGGTATCGGTGTTCCAAGGTGCGAGGAAAGCAGCAATTTGTACTTGTTCAATGATCTTTTCGGATAATCTGTTGGGTGGCGGGCCGCGAGATGACGGAGCAGTTCTCCGCGACCCCACGGACCCCGGTCACGGTGTCGAGTGTCACGGCTCCCCCGGTGGACCCCCTCTCCAGCTGATTTTTCATAGTTCGTTACCGGGGACCACACACCGACGCGAGTCGCGAGGAATGCCCAGGAACACGGGACAACGTGTCAAAATTCGCCTCGCCGCCGCGCCGAACGACTTAATGAGAGGTTGAAGACACCAATTAAACCGGAGGTATTATTGTCCATTTTCTGCGGCCCAATTACTCGGGAGGCGCGAACACGGTCGCATTAGCCGCTCCGAAGCTACGCCGAGACCTGGCTACCTGCAGCTTCGAAAAGAAGCGCACCGTAAGATGTAATTAACTGCACACCGCTCCTCCGGGAACGAGACCGGTTAATGATATTACGGGATGTGTTTGCGGGACCCGGTGATACGGTCAACAATGGCCTCGATTTCGCAGCACAACGAGACCTTTTGTCGAGACCGCGAGAGGAATTAAGCGTCGTTGCTTTTTCTTCGGGCCTTCCGGTGTTATTTCGACAGCGTTATTTTTTTTGTCAGCTGCTTCGTCACGGGTTCGAGCTAACTGCGATACCGACAGCGGAGCTCGAGAATCGAAAGAGAGACTCGTTTGCTTCGCGCAAGGAAAATCAACCTCGGCTCGCGCGTCTGCCCCCTTGGAATCGTAACGCAGAGCTCGAGAACTCGAGGAGAGCTTGCAAGCTCGCTATCGTCGTGTTCTATCGTATTTCTAAGCGGACGCCGCGACTCTCGCGCTCCTAATTCCGTGATATCTGTGAAATATGGTCGACGTTTCGGGCAAGAGGTTTCTCGCGTGATATATTCGAGATTAGCCAATTAAGCGCACAGTGGCGAGTCGAGTTGGTCGCGAAAGGTCTTCATTAGAAAGGACCCGATGCCGAGCTGGCTACCGCGCAACCGTTCCACTTCGGAAGTTGGCTGTTGCGTCTAAGAAGAGCTATCATTAACTCGAGAATAGGGTCCGGGTATTAGGATTAGTGGGCAAAACGTTTCGGGATAGGGTGCTTCTGGACTATTTAGACCGAGAACCGGCGGCCATGTCCCTTCGGCCACGGTCTCGCCACTCTCTCTCTCTCTCTCTCTCTCTCTCTCTCTCTCTCTCTCTCTCTCTCTCTCTCTCTCTCTCTAAGAGCCTGTGATCAACGGTGACTCGCTCAGCTGGTGTTGACTTTGACTGTCCATCGATACCAGACCGACCACCGGGCAGAGAATCGGGGGAAACGTCGCTTCATGGTTTACCTTCGATTCGACCGCCGCGGATTCGCACGGTTCCCGCTCGTTCCGACGAACTGCCGCGCGAGATTCATTCCTCGCGATCGATCCTACTTTCACGCGCGAGCTGACGGCGATCGTTTCACGGGTCCCAGGAAGTACGCGATTCCTATCCCTTGCTCGAAGATTTGTATAAATTCAATCGCTTCCCCGCGAATCGCGTTTATCGTTGGACGAATTAGACGAGGGTCGCGTTCGATTTGAAAAGAGAGCGATCGATCGTTACGTAACCGTGCAAGCCTCGTGCAATAATATTTTACATAAGCGGTTTATACATCGTCCATAATCGGTGGCGAAAAGTGCTAGCTAGGCAGCCATCTTGAAACTAGTGGAACGACTCCGCGTAGCTCCACTTTCAAAACAGTTTCAGAGCTACGAATTGGAACACTTTTGCCTCGAGCAGAGGTTTACAGATGGTCTATGTACGATCGTGTTCGTCACTTTTTTTCCACCGCTGGCACGTTCTTTACGAACGCCGTAAACGCTGTAACAGCATTTCGAACTACGTCGATCGATGGAAACGATTTCATTGCCACTCGTTTGTTGACGCTCGGAGACGCATAGACGGTGTAAAAATGTGCGAAGCGCGATACGAAACGACGCCAGCCTCTGGCGATGACGAGACAAAATCCGTCGTCTCCGTCGAACGGATTCGCGAGTGCGGAAAGAGTCTCGAACGTCCCGAGTCTTCCAAAGTGTCTAAAAAAGTGTCCCGACGGATCTCGGATCCTCCGGTCGAAGAAAACCGTCCTCGAAGCGCCTCGACCGGTCCCATCGGTACCGGTGCTAGGTCCCAAGGACGCGCGGGGGTCTTTCGAGTCCGAATCGCGAAAATGAGAAAACCTCGCGGCGTATCGGTAGCGTATCGGTAGCTTATCGGTAGCTTATCGGTAGCGGGTCGGCAGCGGTTCGACGATCGGATCTCTGCGAGCGTGGAGTCTGCGGTCGTTGCGTGTCGCGTCGAGGTGCTGGCAACTCTGGCAACGATCTCGAGCGGTTGGCCAAGCAGCCTTGGCTTTTCTGAAGAGACTGTCACTCACCTCGGTGTGCGTCAGCGACGTCGCGAACTACGCACCACTCTCGGAAGAAACGCCGATGGAACGGATTCGGTTGAATCGGAAGAAAAACGGGACGCCGCGCGCGTTTTCTCCGTCGGTTCGTTGTGCGGAACGGTCCCTGTTTCCGTTCTGTAGAGATCGGGGCCCGTCGCGGTTCTCACTGGCGGTTTTTCGGGGCCCTGGACCGCGGCCCGTCGCCGGCAGCAGGCTCTCTCTCTCTCTCTCTCTCTCTCTCTCTCCTCTCTGCGGAGAGAGATCGGGGAATATCGGGAATCGGGGCGGATCCGCGAGGAGAACAGACTCCGTGAACACGAATCTCCTCTTCTGCGGTCGAACGGTGTTTCGGTGTTTCGGTGTTTCGCGGCCTCTCGAGGAGAATCGAGACGAATAGAGGAGGATCGAGGAGAATCGAGGAGAATCTACACACGGACACAGACCGGGGATCCGATATGAGGCTGAGCCGAACCGAGCTGAGGTTGAACACGAAACTGTGCTGCCGATCTCTCGTGTTCCGTTCTCTCCTCCTCCTCCTCCTCCTTCTCCTCCTCCTCCTCTTCTCTTCTCTCGCTCTCCACCTCCACCACCACCACCACCGAGCCCCGGAGTCTCTCCTTCGGCTTCAGCTCCTCCTTCTACTCGGTGCACGTTCCTCGTTCGGTTCCGCGCCGTTCCCGTTCCGTTCTCTCTCTTTCTCCGTCCACCGGTCGCCACCGGGTAACCGTCGTCGGAACAGAAAGAGAAAGGATCATCGGTTCACCAGGGGGGAACCGAAGGAGGAGGAGGAGAGGAAGAGGAGGATGAGGAGGAGGAGGGCAGGGATCAACGGTAAGCAAGAGAGATCTTTGACTACTACCTCTCCGCCAACGACGACCGTCGCGTGTACTGTAAAAAGCAAGATCGCCCGAGGCCTTACACCTCGAACCAGTAAAACTTGTCGTACGCTAGTACTAAAGTGCGCCGAGTGCCGAGTGCCGGGTCGCTCTCTGCATCGCTCTGCATCGCTCCGATGCGACGAGTCGCCGCGTCGGTCGCGATCCTGCTACCAGGACCCAACGCCGGTGATCCACTAATCGCGACGAACCGTTCGAGATGTTCGGGGACGGTCCGGACCACCTAGCTTTCGGGTGGGGCGAGCCGCGGGCGGTGGAAAGTGGCCTGTATTCCTAATTGTCCGTCCACGAGCACGGTCCGTTGTCCGCGCAGAGTTCTTGCTTCTTCGTTTAATCGTAATCTCGATCCGTCGCTGGGTGTAATCGTCGCGCGCGATCGTTTCGTCGTTCGCGGGAAACGCGGATGGTTTTCCGTGGATTCATTCGATCGATCCCAGACGTCGAAGACCGTCTCCGCGAAAAGGGCCCGAAAACGCGGGCACCGTAGAAATTTGGTAAACCGAACCGACCCGACCCGACCGAATAGGGACACATATGTTTACGGTAGACGCCGTTTGTGCACGAAGCTCGGAAATTCTCAGCATATGGGAGCAACGACAGCGTCGACTTCCGTCCGGTGCTTCGAAGGAGGAATGAAAAAAGAGTTAGCGCCTCGTGTGATTTATTTCGAGAGTTGCTCGGTCGAGAGACGATTCCAGGCGAGGTACCGTCCAGTCGTCTTTGGTTTCAGCGACGTACGACCGACATCTTTCACCGGCGTCGAAGGTCGTACGGTTTCTCCGCGCGCGCGTCACCGGTATGGTAATCGCACGCGCGAGCAATTAGAAACTGGCAAAGGTGTTGGCCAGGCTCCGAGAGTTTCTATCGAATTCACGTGCTGGGTAGAACTCGAGAAGCGTTTGCCAGGCTCGTGGATTTTCCGGGGATGAAAATGGCTCTTGGAGTTGGGGGAGCGAACCGCGTTCCATCGAAAGCTATCGATCTCATAGAAAATCTTTCTTTCCGCTTCTCCGTCGTCCTCCTGAATCGTAATTTCCTAACAAGAAAGTCTATCGAAAAATATTGCGACTCGGTTACCTTGCCCGTCCGACGCGAGGCCCCAACTTAAAGAGCAGCTTTCACCCCTCGACTCGAGATCTCGAAATTTCCGGAGTTCTACGCGGTACGTGGGTCGTTCGAAAAAGGCTGACGCCCCTGCAGGATGATCGCTCGATCTCCTCGGAGCACTCGTCCCGCAAAATCCGGTCAGACTTGATCGACGCTGACGTCCGGAGGATCGTTCCGCGTCTCGTAGATGGTCGGGCCGAGCGCGGCTCGCCTGACCCGGTCCACGATGGGGCCCAGATCATTGTTCAGGTATTCCCTGAACCGCAGGCACTTCTCGTTGGTGTTGATATCGTTAGAGCTGCCCCAAATTATGAGCCCGTCCGCGCCGAGATCCGAGATCTTGCCGAGAGTGGTCTCGAGATCAGCCTGCGAAGATAAATCCACTTTGAGAGCGGCGACGCGACGCGACGGCAGCCTGGCCGAGGACTCTCTCTCTCTCTCTCTCTCTCTCTCTCTAATCAGGTGGCGCATCTTCCGATGGGCCCCGAAATTTTTTGAAAACAGAGGGGGCCTCACCTTATTCAAATAGGTGTCCCTGTGATCCTGGTACTTGTACCAGTAATAAGGCAGAACCTTTTTCCTCGGTGTCGACTGCCTCGCGATCCGCAGGGCCTCTTTCACTCGGCCACCGACCAGGCCCACTCTCTCGCCGGCGGTCAGGCTCAGCCTCAAATAGACCGACGACAGGAGGACGTCTTCCAGCTCGAACAGCCACGACATTCTGGAAAAACAGCGCCGCATGGGGATTCGGACGCCAGCTCGGCTTATCGGCCTCGAGATTAGATAACGGGACGATTTGAATTTTCAGCAAGGTCCTTGGCACTGGCATCGTTTCGAGTTAGATGATCTTGACGCGTGACTCGTAATCTGCTTACCCGCAGCCCCGTAGCCCCGTAGCTCCGTGGCCCCGTGGCCCCGCGGCTCCGTGGCCCTCGAGTACAGCCACGGTAAATGGAGCACGCGACTATACGCGAGCCGTTGTCACCGAGAAGCTATACTATCGTCGAGCGATCATCTGTTCGTTATCGCGCGGAGCACGCTTTCGATTACTTTTTGGGTGCCAGGCCCTGCCGAATTCGTTCGTTTCCTCCGCGTCTTCGAGATCTATTCTTTCCGATCGAGTTCTCGACAACTCCTCCGCAAGGAATACCATAAATTAGACTGTACAAATTGAGAGCCGGAGAGACGAAAGCGTGCTTAAACATCTTTTTAAAGAATCTATCCATCCCCAAGTGCCGACAGCATTTCTCAAACTAACGACAAGCGAAAAAGTGAAGCGACGCCATACTTATCGTTCTCCAACATGGTGGTTTTGTCGCACTGCGAGCTGGGCTGGTTCGGCGACAGGTTGTAACAGTAGGGATAAGCGTAGTAACCCCAACTGGCCGCCGGTCTGCACTCCTTGGCGGTCTTCAGGGTCTCCTCGACGAACAGTCTGCCGTACTTCTCGAAGCTCCGCTTCGCTTCTTGCTCCACGGTCTTGCTGTCCCAAAACGGGTGCTGTTCCCGGACCAGCTCCACGGAATAGTCTCTGTACGGCTGAAGGGATGCCCAGTTCTGTCGGAAGATCGGTCGCCAGCTTTCGAAATCGATCACGCCGATGCCGTGGAACGATTCGTCCGGGATCTGCTCGGTCAGGTGTTTCCGGAAGACCTCCAGGTGCCTGGTAAGGTTGCCCTCCTGCGGCACACCGCCGTTTCTACGCACGACGTGTCCTGAACAACCATTTAGGCGGCTGTTGTCAAGGTTCGAGTATGCAAGTTCGAGAGCCTCGACAACGCATCGTGTTAACGCGAATGGTAAAGAAGTTCTAATCGGCATTGCTGGGAAATAAAGGGGCGAGGCAAGGGGTTGTTACCCAATATCGATACGTACGTCCATCGTACGTCTTAATTTTTACACTAATTTATAGCCGAATACGTAATAACCAATGGCTAAGTTTCAGGCGAATTATTTTACTTTCGAACGGTACAGCAACGTCTCTCTAATCGACACTGAGATTCTGCACGAAAATGAACAGTTAGGGAAGAGAAGGTACGATTGTTCCAGTCTTGCGGTTCGTTTTTATAGCTCTTGATAATCGGTAACTATAAAAACGAGGTGCACGGCTCCGATAATCGCGTTTCCTCTTCTCAAATTGTCCATTCTTTTGTGCATTATGTGCGTCAATTAGGGAGACATCACTGTACTTACCATTTGAGTCCTTTAACAGCGCCGGGAACATGCCGGGGTCATAAAGGATCGTGATCTGGTTCCCTCGAAATTCGTCCATCTTGTTTTGGAGGATCCCAAATTTGGTGGCGACCTCCTCGAACCGCAGCCCGTATTTGTGACACATGAAGGTCGGCACGTTCCAGTAGACGTTGAATCCCTGCCGGTCCACGTCTTTCGGGGTAACCGGACGGAAGCTGCGCAGAAAGACGTCGAGGTGACACGATTTTCCATAGGATGAACATTAGGAAACACCGTAAAATCTTTATCTAGCGACCAGCGTTGAAGATAACCGCGAATATCAGCTCCTCGAAAAAATATGTCTAAAAACGTGCATGTCGCGAAGCCTATACGGTTGCGGACACGCGATTTATCGTTTGCTCTTCGAAAGGCCGAGTAATTCCGACGCGACGCGACCACCCACTTGCGTCGTGTACAGGGAGTCTCGCGACATTAAAAAATCGNGAGGTGCACGGCTCCGATAATCGCGTTTCCTCTTCTCAAATTGTCCATTCTTTTGTGCATTATGTGCGTCAATTAGGGAGACATCACTGTACTTACCATTTGAGTCCTTTAACAGCGCCGGGAACATGCCGGGGTCATAAAGGATCGTGATCTGGTTCCCTCGAAATTCGTCCATCTTGTTTTGGAGGATCCCAAATTTGGTGGCGACCTCCTCGAACCGCAGCCCGTATTTGTGACACATGAAGGTCGGCACGTTCCAGTAGACGTTGAATCCCTGCCGGTCCACGTCTTTCGGGGTAACCGGACGGAAGCTGCGCAGAAAGACGTCGAGGTGACACGATTTTCCATAGGATGAACATTAGGAAACACCGTAAAATCTTTATCTAGCGACCAGCGTTGAAGATAACCGCGAATATCAGCTCCTCGAAAAAATATGTCTAAAAACGTGCATGTCGCGAAGCCTATACGGTTGCGGACACGCGATTTATCGTTTGCTCTTCGAAAGGCCGAGTAATTCCGACGCGACGCGACCACCCACTTGCGTCGTGTACAGGGAGTCTCGCGACATTAAAAAATCGGTCCGAAAGAAAGGAACGAACGAACAACGGCCGCCGATTTCGCGCACAAGAAATGGCACCTTCGGCCGGGCGTGCAGGCCAATGACACGGCTTAGATAAGATATTTTCGGTCCTGAACTTGAACGCTTTATGGGTATTTCAGGAGCCGCAGCCACCGCTGCAGCCGCTGCGCCGCAGGAGAAGCCTGCCAACTCTCTCGATAAATACGGGGCGGAAATTCGAAAGGTGAGACGGAGCGCCGTAAAAGTCGTCTAATCGTAAGTACCCGAACAGGAATCCTTCGACGAACAGCAGAGGCGCCAGCAGGAACAGCACTGAAAGTATCATCTCTCTGGTGAGGGGACATGAACGGCCACCAACACGAGCGTCCACCAGCGTCCACCAGCGTCCACCAGCGTCCACTGTCACCGACGCGAGCAACCTCCGAACAAACCGGGAACGACAGTGCTTCCTATCGATCCCTTTCGACAGGGGCTGCTCGGGCTGCAGACTGCTCGGACGACGACGATAGCGACGATGATTTCCCGATGACCCCCGCGTCTAGCGAGCTCCCCGCACACGCCGACGACGATGGTAGAACAGCGGTGCGACTGAATTCCGCTCGATTTCAGGCCACTATTTATTCCGCATCGTGTGTCTCGTGTTCCCCACCTACGTGCTCGTCGCCGCTCCGTGCTGTTATCTGGCTCTCCGGGTGTATTGTTCGGTGATTTCTCGTTTCCGTTTTTCCTTTTCCTTTTTTTTTCTTTTCTTCTCCTTCCTTCGGCGTTGCTTGTTCGCCGCTTTTTTTATTTCGTTTCGCGCAAAAGGGCATCACGCGTCCGCGATCAATCCCGCCGAGCCGACAATGGGAGTGCATTGAGCCCGAGCACTGGGTCCTCGATGCTCGATGCTCGAGGCTCGAGGCACCGTTGCGAGATCGATACAGCTGCCCCGGGCCAAGGATCGCGCCGGGATCCACGGAGCGCGGAGGGCCCTCGCCGAGGATCCAACGACAATGGATCCAGTCTCCGTCACCTGCCCACTCGTTCACCGCGCTCCCGAATTCGGGAAGAGCGTCCTGCAGGACCAAAATACGCGCTCGGTCGCGTCCATTGTTCCTGCTCCGGGTTCGTTCTCCTCGTCGTCTCTAACATCTTGCTCAAAATTAGTATAATTTTCCTTTCAGCAGTAGTTCCTTCCCAATAATTGACATTATCTTCTTAGCAAGTACGCGTAAAAATGTCGGACCGTTGGAACGATAAGAACTGTCTTTATCGATTGCGACAAACGGTCGGCTAAACATTTGCAACTGCTGCTAGTTAAAAGTGAATTTCGACGGGCTCTATCGATCAGCGGATCTTATAATTGCCACGACAATTAGAATTGCGAGCTGATTTTGTTAGCAGTGTCATAATACCGTGTTGTAAGAGTGCTACGGATGATAAGACGATGCGGGCATGCCTGTAGAAAGTCCGGAGGAGTATTACGGTTGCAAAATGCTTAATTACTATCTCTCCTTTGGTCCACGATGTTTCGAATATTGTCCAGCCTTGTTCGGACCTTCGAGATCCTAGACAATTGTTTTTTTTCAAACTTTCGGACGTGACGCAGTCTTCTTATCAAACTTGAAAGTCATTTTTCGCTGCAATCGGTCGCGCGAATGCAAGGTTGCTGCGATCTACGAGTTGCGAGAGAGTAACAGAAGTCGTTGTTGCATCATATATGTGATATTTTATATTTTTTATAGCGTAGAATAACTTGTTCGGATCTTCTGTGACTCTTGCGAGCATTGGCGTGGCAGTCAACGAGTGAATTGTCATTCGCTTTCCCATCCTGTATTCTTTCTAGTCTTTCTAAAGTAGACAAAGCGCAGTTATGTTTTGTTTTCGACACGTTTTATGCGAGGCGATTATTCGTCGATACGGAAGAGAGAAAAATGGTAATAGGCCCGGCAACGAAGGTTCAAAGAGGCGAAAGAGCGATGGCGGTCGAAAGAGGCCGCGGCAGGATTAATTAGGAGCAGTTTCGCGCGTACGAACTAGTAATTAAACTACCCCGGTATGTTGCCGGGTCGTCGAATATTCCAGCACGGTCCGTAGGCTCGCCGAGCGTTCGCTTCGCAACAGGATTAATTATCGAGGAAGGAAAAACCGAACGCGTTTCGCGAAGGACGGGTCCCTATCTCGCGAGGTGAAACCGTGCGTAAGCTTCTCGGAAGGCTGCGCTCGAATTCGTTGGTAATTTTTCTAATTGCCCGCTTCTTTCGAGGATGATTAACGCGTCACGGCGGTACCCGGACTCGACTATTTATCGAGCCTGCCGGTAACAAATGTGTCCGGGTAATCTTAACGACCAAATTGATTAGGTGGAACGGTTTTACAAGGGTGTTAAAACAGTCCTCCGTGCGCCTCTTTCTCACGCGTTCAGATAACCCGGCTGATAACGGCCAAGGTGACAGCGGATCCGCTGTTGATCGTACACGCGTCGCGCCGCGTCAAAATGAATTCCCGGGGATTCTTGTTCGCTTTTCGGCTAAATCGGTTTCGCGTCGAAATAACCAATTTCGAGTTTCAGCTATGCAAATACGTTTTCAAAGTTACGACGAAGGATAAAGTTCGACGTTCTTCGAGGAAATTGTAGGTAGTTTTGCATTAACGACGAGGAAAAAAAACTATGGACTTCCCGAAAGGGATGGGACAGATAAGACAGTGATAAATGACGTTCCTAAATATTACTTTGCTAAAGATAGCAGCAAGGTAATGAAAAATGTATACATCCGCTTGAAACTTTGCATACGAGTGTATAAATAGATTATTTAGAATTCGCGTCTTCAAAAATAATGACACGATTTAACCTAGACTTAGTTCCATAATAAACGCGAAGATCTCGCGTTCTCAAAAGATATCCTTTCGCTCTTGCTTTGAAATAAATGAAAACACGTCTGATAAAGTAGTTCAACGCTGTTCAGCAATTGTCATTTTTATTTTCACAACAAAAATCGTTTAGAAAAAAAGGTTGCATCGTTACCTAACAAAACTTCCATTCGGCTAATTTGCAGCGCTACATGGTCATCCTTTCACAGCTTTTATCTCGAAGAGGCCTTGCGTGTATCGTGTGTTAAATATTGATCAACAGTCACGGCTGGGAAGACCTCGGCTCGCATCAAGGGTACACGTTGGGCTCGGCCGAGCAATGCGTAATCAAAGATCCTCTTCTTTCGGATCCAAAACTGCCCAACTCGGCATCTCTTAGAGAGCGAATCGTCAAACGATCGTAAAATACAGTTGATACCGAAACGCTTCCCTTAACGACAGTCGCTGAGAACAGGTTTCTTTCCACTATCTGATCGACACCTGTAGCCGTAACCGTAACCCTAATTACGTAACAGTCACCAACCGAAATCACCGGGAAGGTCGGGAGATGATAAATAAAGAGAGCATCATAGGGTAGAGAAGCGACAGCAGGGTTACTTTCGACCTCGATTTATTTAAACTCTTCCACTCTCACGTCCTTATACTCCTGCGACCTAATCAAGAAGATGCTGAATGTATAACAGCGTCCTGGAGCCTTATGTTGAAAACTGTGTGTTGCGGATGGCCACGCGGCTGACGTAGGTCCACCAGCGGGGGCGTCGACCACCCCCGGCTGCGTGGATTCTGCAAATTACTAATGTACGATATTTATCTACATTGCTCGAGTCACGCACATACGTTATATACACACGCGCTGCACAGGCGTAATCCCGATCGTCTCGGCCTTGACCTATGGAGCACGAGTGAAAGCGGAGACAAAATCATCCGCGGAGCCAGCATCCTGTTTTACATCGAACCCCGGGTTTTTCAGCGTATCGCTCAAATCCGTCTCCCTCTTCCCTAAGTGAATATCGTCGTTCCTCCCCGATTTTATTGTATACCATTTTATCCGCCTTGGTAAGCTTGCACGTGCGAGATTGTGTGCTTTGTTTCCTAGATCCGTGGAGACGGAGCTCTCTACTGGAGCACCAAACCGATCTTCCATGGCGTCATGCTGGGGCAACGCCAGTTGTACAGGTAGTACTGGAGATTCCCGTCACCTATGCCAAACTTCAGTGGCTCCAGGAACTCCTTGTTGTCCATTAGGTCTAACGCGTTGAACACGTCGTAGCCCAGCTGAAAAATATACATAAAAATGGGCTCTACACGTGGTTAGGGCGGTTTGGGACTTACATTGCGCGCAGAGATAAGAGCATCCGTCATCAGGTCCCGCCACGGGGTCACGTTGGACACGTTGTAGAAACTGTACGCAGCCCTCAGGGTCTTGTGCACCGTATGATGCATGATGGAGCTTGGCAAGGTGTAATAGCTGACCATGTCCGTGATTTTGCCGTTGTACTCCACCACGAAGCTGTTGATGATCCCGTCCTGCGTGAGGAACCAGTGTCGGAACTCCTCGATGGAGAAGATTGGCACCAGGTCGAACTTCTCCAGATACTAAAACGGGAATTCGGTCAGCGGGTTTGCCAGATTTCACGATTTCGAGCTCGCTGATTTGTCGTTACATCGGTCAGCAGCTTGTGGGCCTGCGGTATGTCTGCCTCTACCAGTTTCCTGAACCCTGGCACCTTCGTGTTTTCTGGCAGTTTGAACAGCTTCAGAGTTCTTTGCATCGTCATGTTGCGGGACAGGTGTGAGAACTTAATGTCGATTAGTTTCTTTGGATTCAGTGAACGGTGCCAATACCTGGGGAACCATACGGATGTTGGATAGAAGGTGTAAGGAAGTTCTTCGGCGTTCGATGATGTCTACGCACCTGCAAGTCGCTATAGGTTTTGGCAACACTACACCTGCGGTGTACACAGCCTGGAATATACCTTGTAGATTAACTCTCCTAGTGATCTCGCGAATCAGGACCGGCGCGACTCTCTTCGATCTCAGCTTCTTGTGCACGCAGAGGAAATTGATCTCTACCATTTTCTGAGTGCTGAAAGTTCGCTTTCGTTAGGTCATCGGTTCACGGTGTTACGGATTTTATAGAGTGTTTGCGACCTACTGAAAGTACACGCGCAGAGTGGCTGGTATAGCGGAAATGAAACCGACTAGACGTCCGCTTTTGGTAACTCGCACCCCACAGTGCCATTCTTTACACCACCCCGGGGGTTGCAGTGCCCTGGAATCAGTTACCGTGCAACCATAATCCTACAGATTAATGTCGCGTATCCAGCTACTGTTTTATTTACCACTTCAGAAAGTTCGGCGGATAATCGAATCTAAACATCGCGTCGTCGTCCTCCACGTAATTCTTGGCTAACAAAGTATACAATTCACATAAAACTAAAGGATCGTCGAGATTCAAAGTGTCCCATTGAAAGTCGGGTGGCAACGAGTAAGGTTCTTGCCTTATGGACGTTTTGTCGGGTTCGATAGGTTCATTCTTTACGATCTTTTCATCTGCGCGGGATAAATAATGTAATTTTATCTTGACAAAGCAGAGTCTAAATGCTAAAATACATTATGCTCGCTGGTTTACCCATTTTTGGTACTGGCTGCGTGCTCCAGAACTGATAAGGCTTTTGCATAGCTTCTTTTTGAGTTTTGGCAGGCTTTTGATGCATATTGAACACCTCCATGGCCATTTGTATGTCTTTCATCCAAATGTTACACGTACTGTGCATGTCATGATCATCCGCATGACCTGCGTGATCGTGGTTCTCGGTAGTCGTATGCGCCATTTGGTTCTTCTTCTTACGATTTCTGTTTTTTGAACTGAATTATGAATAATTTCTCATTATCGCTTCATACAGCAGCACGCATACCCACGCATACATATGCTCGTGTACAATCATACACAATGACATAGCACTGTATCGCACAAGGAAGACAAACAGCAGAGGCATAAATTAAATATTTCTGATTAAATTAAGGTTACAGACAGTTATCCGGGTGTGCTTATTGGTGTTGAGAAGAATAAAACAGTAAATATATCGTAGAATATTTAATGGAGTAACGAATGCAGATTAGAGTGCATGCATGGTAGGTTACTAAGCCGCAAAAACGCGATTTCATGCATCGAACGTATTTCGTAACGTTGGAATGGAAATATACAAGGCTCATGATTTAATTCCGGGTTTTGCAAGGACACTTTCATTGATAATTGGGAAATGAACGTAGGGAAACGAGTGTGACTAGTTCGTCACACCCACGCACAATGTATGGATGTAAAACTATTTTTCATAGGTGTTAATTGAAAATCGAACGGCAAATCCATTTTTATAACTGAATGATTATTCACGTACCTTTTCAGCTTCCCATCTTTTTCGTGAATTTCATCTTTCTTAGCTTCTCGTTCTACAACTTGACTCTTTTCCTCCATTTTAATATAGATTTTGATAGAGCGCGTGCGCAGGGCATCGTCACGCCTCCTGGCATGTTCAAACGGAAAGACGGCGTGTCACATGACCATAGTGATTCAGTCGCCGCTTCGAAATCCACGCAGTTCTCAGTCCCGCATTCTTTCGTTAATATTTGTGGAATTTTATGGGAATAATCGCATTACTTTCACGAATAAATACACTCAGCAGTTTTGTTCAACATCGAGGGACACGAAGCAGTTGAAGGTTTCAAGTGTTAGCACGTTGTTCGAGGAAAATCTTGGAAAGATGTCGAGGTTACCGTTGGTTGCTGGAACGCCGAATAAACGCGGGTTACCAAGAGTTACCAGCGCACATTTTCAAATGTTTGTGAGTTGCAAACTTAATTAGAGCATTGAAATTACTCGATTATCATTTATTCTTAGTTAACAGAGCCAGAGTAATTAATCCTTCCGTTGTACGCGCAGTACTTTCACTGGAAATAATAGTCGGAGATTGATGGTGTGCGGACTAGAAATGGCGCGAAATTGGCGGAAAGTGTTCCACTTCAAAATGGCTGTCATCTTCGTGCGTAATATTCTAGAAGTTTATCGACGGACTAAGTGAGTACAAACTATGCTGAATATTTATTTGTATATTTCACTACATATTTCTTCTTACCGTGTAAAATGTGTACTAAATTATAATGGCGCATAATTATCTATAGAATTTTATTATAAATTTGTATAAAATTGCTCGTTGTCTTCGATAAGCTTGATTATCAAGGTTATCAAGACCAACCGCCTTGAATTAATATTGCTGCGTTTTTTTCATGCTGTAGGGACAAAGGTATGGCATTGCAGAGCGACTTTCAAAAAACACGTTCTTACATTTCAAATTATTATTTCAAGCAGGAGATTTGTAAATACCTTGTGTAGCAATAACAAGGTTAAATGAGTACTCTCAGGGTGGCAGTCTGGCAAGTATAGTTTTTTTTATTTCATTACCAGGAGATTTGTAAATACCTTGTGTAGCAATAACAAGGTTAAATGAGTACTCTCAGGGTGGCAGTCTGGCAAGTATAGTTTTTTTTATTTCATTACCAACAGTGTCCTTACATCTTTATGCCGAAACAATGTATAATTTCTATATCATAATATATATATATTTATTTATTTGTTTATTTGTTTATTCCATTCATTCATTTATTTGTTGTAATTCACGTATATAATTGTTAGCGATCGTAATAGCAATAAATAGTCCGTAGTAGGCGAGTCTGTAGGTGTGTAAACAGCTTTTAGGTACGTGTAATTCCAGTTTATCGATCATTCGATCCAATGTTCACGCGGCGAGCGCGCTTTAATTCGCCGATTTGCATATCTGTTTTCGGTGGACCACACCGGGGCAATGCCGAGAGGTCGGTTTATCCGGCGTTCCTGCTCTCGTGAAAAACAATTTTGTTTCTCATTGCCCTTGCTGGCATTCTATCGATATCGAGTGGAAACCCGTTTTCGCTCGAACAGAAAATTGATCTCGCGGAGAAGCCGCGTTTCTGCAGCGTTTTCTCCTTTGAGAGAAACAGAGAGGGCGAAAGAGGCAAGGAGAGAGAAAGAAAGGGAGACAGAGACAAAGAAAGGGAGATAGAGATAGAAATACTGAGAGAGAGAGAGAGAGAGAGAGAGAGAGAGAGAGAGAGAGAGAGAGAAGAATATCGGAGTGTGCCCGAAAGTAATAGTCGCGAGATGAACTCGTCGAAACGATTCCCACGGCATTGAACAAACCCGCGACGAGGATCAGCAAAAGGTTTCTCTGGAAAAGAGGAGAGAGATTCTTCTTTCCCAGCGCGTTTTGTTCGTCGGGTAATGCGAGAAGTCTTTGCCGCCCACTGCTTTCGCGATGGATCGGGCGGAAAAGTAAAGAGGACTCGAATAATATAGGATCTGGGATATATTTATTAAAAGGTCTTAAAATAGGAACGCGTTGACAACATAATTAAGACTGTTAGCTGGCATTGGAAGTCGAGAGGTCTTTTGCTGAATTTTTGGGAATTAATTTAGTTGATCGTGATCGTGAGAATTGCTTTTGCTGGCTGTAATGCAACAATTTAATCGTTGATATTTTAAAAAATTCTGGTCCACAAGGAATTATAATTGAATCCTTCGAAGATGAATCTTGTCCACTGTGTTGCAGTGAAATAACCGAGTTATGAAAATTACAAAAGATCAGTCGATATCTTCCTTCGTTCAATTCGATTCTTCCGAGTCGATATTTCAAAAGATCCTGGTCCCTAAAGGGTTTACAAAGAACTATAATCTAATCGTCGGAGGACGAATCTCGCTTATCCCCGCAGCAAAGAATAATTTGATGCTATAGGAGAAAAGCATGGCACAAAGAAATAAGCAAACACTCGATGTGGAATTTCGATTTGCTGAAACCGTTTTCTCTATGAAAAATCCTGGCCTGCGACGGGTCGGCGATGGAGAGGAACGGCGAAACAAGAGTGGACAGCGATCTCAAGAATTTTCCGGCCGGATTTCTCGGATTCTAGAGCCTTCGCGGAGCTCGCGTGTTCAAAGGAGGAAGAGGGATCGTCGAGTCTAGATGGTTATTGTGTTAGGGGGAACGGGAAATGACGGCAGCAGCTACGTCACTCGCGAATATTCGCGAACCGTGGCGTGGGCGTTCTGTTAACAAGTGCCCGGAGGATAACGATCGATCGTTGGCCCCGCAGGTGGCCACGGGGATTCTGAATGGATCAGCTGAGAATGGGAACGCAGGGAGAACGTCGCTCGTCTTGTCGAAATGAAATTCTGCTTCTGCTGGCACCGGTGTCACGGATTTTTCTAGAATCTGGAATCTAGAAAAAAAGGAAACACGAACGGATGTGTCTTCGACGCTTTCGCTGATACCGGCTTGCATTGTGTCGTCGATATCGACGACTGAACTGCAGATTTTTTTTTTAGTCGTGGCATAAATTTTCAATTTATTCGAGCTGTTGAGTGCACAAACGAATTCGCGACTTGTTTCTCGCAATTGACGCAGAATGTTTCATTATGCACTAGGATCCGCGGTCTACTTCCGATGCAACTCGTGGATTTTTCTGTCCGGTGCATCGAGTTCTCGTGGTTTTCCGTTTAGGCTGAATTGGTCGTCGCGTTCAATTTCTGGTTTGGTCGAGATTTCATTCGATATTCTAAAAGAGATGCTTACAAAATTTCTTACAGAGTATTTGTTTAGAAAACTGTAAAAGTATAGCACGGAATACGTGGTATAGATAAAGCTTTTGCTCGACCTTTGAGTGATTTGTTGGCGCAGCATGTTCAAACGAACGAGGCTAAAATGATTTTCATTTGGCGAGTTGGTTGAAGAGAACGTTGGATGTATTACACGAGAAATTACGTTTCTGATACCGACTTCCGAAATCTACTTAACTGTTAAGGAATGTGTATCGGAACTCCATTTATATGAACCCGAAAAGCTGTTCGTACAACTGGGTCGCCCTTATAGTAGAAATTTATCTAATTCTCTCTATTACTTCGTGATATACGATTCAGATAATTGGAATTCACGTTCCGACGAGTGAATTGGGTCAAGGATTTCTTTAGTCGCGATAATGGTAAAAAATTTGCCGATTTCAAACGAATTTGATTTCATTTTTGTCGAATCTTTTATTCATCCGATATTATCAAGATGAAACGAAGAGGAAGTCGCATTCATTTTTGAGGTGACCAGGGAAAGCGTGAGCGATGAAAACGTAGAGAATAATCGTTTGTCTGGCACTGTAAACGTATGCTTTATTAATTATTAGATAACAAAACGTTATGCGTATATAGCGTATAAAAATCGTGAACAAAAATCGTGGAGATTCAATGATGTAGTTTCATTTTATTCGCATTCCGTGGAATGTAGAAGAATGGATGAGGGAGAAGTTGCATCGTACGTATGGTTAAAGAGACGCATCGCGATTTCTCGTATAGAAAATCATTAAAACAGCCTGAACGGAAAGACCAAAATGGCTGACCAATGGCTATTGACTTTCGACAATCGATACTCTCGAAAGATACTGATTCATTCTAATCTCTCTAGATAGTAACATTTTAACATCGTCTTCGAAACAAAACGTTCAATGTAATATATTTGTTGAAACAAGTAACGCCACTAAAATTTTATTCGTTACAAACAGACTGCGGACCTCTGCGCACGCGTTCGTAGTGTCTGCGAATCAAAAGAGAAAAAACGAAGAAGCAATTTCTCGAAATCGGTGATCATTCTTTTGATTTGCCATAAAAGCTTCCTAGTCGATCGGAAAGAAATGACTGTTTCCGAATTTCATCGAATCGGACGATCGTTGAAAAACAGATGTCTGCATAAAGATCCACAGCCTATTTATAAACGTAACATTATATTATATATTATTTGAGAAATCATTCGCTCGAGAAACGGATTACAAATAATATGCTGTTCTTGCCACGCTAGGTCAAACTAAATCGCAGTCCATGGGCTGAACTAAATCGGTAGTTAGATTTCCATGCAACGATACAGAAACTGTAGAGCTTTGTCGAAGCTCTGGACCATGGAGTCTAGATTCTACGGTGAGATTCCAGGGCCTGGACTTTAAGAACCTAGAATCTAGCGTCCAGATACCCAGTGACCAGAATCCAAAGTCCAGAACAGGAAAACCGAAAATGAAGTAGCAGCGAAAGCGTCGAGTCGCGAGCCCAGACCGCAGACGCCGTTCGCACTACCAAGCTCACTACTTCGTCGCTACTAGATGAGAACAATTCCTTTTTCCATCACCGAGAGACACACACCGAGATAGAGAGAGATAGAGAAAGAGAGAGAGAGAGAGAGAGAGAGAGAGAGAGAGAGCGGCCCCGAAATTTCGTAAAACCATAGTGTCTCGTGCATCAACCCGGTCCCAAACGCTCCTCCCCCAACAGCCTTTAGAACCCATCGATTATCCGTTGGATTCGTCGGGTGTCGGGTTCCCATTAACGAGAGCGGGAAAGACAATACGGTTCTTAACTTGGCTACCTTACGCCGCTGAAATACATCACCGTCGTGTAATAATTAGGTACGCTCCGTCGGCGATTCGCAATTTATCTCTTGGAGCGTCGACTAGACGTTGGGCGAAATAGAAAGAGCAAGTGAGAGAGAGAGAGAGAGGATGGATGAAATACAGATACAAAAGGAGATGAGAAGAGAGGGGAGAAGAAGGAGGAAGGGAGAGATGCAGCGAAAATTCGAACGAGGTCCTGCCGCGAGCCTAATCTCAAGATATGTGTGTCGGGAATCACGAATCTCCGGATCTGAACAATGAAAACACGGACACCGTACACAGGCGATTAGGAGGAACGAAGAGAGAATAGGATAAACTTGGTCGATCAGTCGGCCGGCTGCGCCTCGCGAGGCCTCGAGCGGATTCGCTGCCACGGGACCGAAAAAGCTGCGAATCTGACTAATCCCGAGCCGTCTGCTCCCGTTCCTTGTCCCTCGTTCCGTCTCCCGACTTCCGTCTTCCGTCTTCGTCTCCTAAACGGTTCTTCCGCGCCGCCGCTTCCTCAGCAGTGATATGCATAGAACAGCGAGGCCAGCAGCCATAAGGCCCCTGTGCCCTGCGACCCGAACCTGCCCCCGACCCCGTTCCTGCCGGGTCGTTTGCGCTTCGGCTTCGGCTTGGCGCGGCGTCTCCGCGAGAAGATCGCGTTCGTCGAGTTTGTCGGCGAGTCGATGTTGCAGTAGCTCAGGTCGCAGCAGCTGATGCACACCTGAAACGAAATAACCGAATTTATTTTGACCCGAGAGCCACCGGCCTCTCTCCTTTTTTTTTTTANCAGTCCATGGGCTGAACTAAATCGGTAGTTAGATTTCCATGCAACGATACAGAAACTGTAGAGCTTTGTCGAAGCTCTGGACCATGGAGTCTAGATTCTACGGTGAGATTCCAGGGCCTGGACTTTAAGAACCTAGAATCTAGCGTCCAGATACCCAGTGACCAGAATCCAAAGTCCAGAACAGGAAAACCGAAAATGAAGTAGCAGCGAAAGCGTCGAGTCGCGAGCCCAGACCGCAGACGCCGTTCGCACTACCAAGCTCACTACTTCGTCGCTACTAGATGAGAACAATTCCTTTTTCCATCACCGAGAGACACACACCGAGATAGAGAGAGATAGAGAAAGAGAGAGAGAGAGAGAGAGAGAGAGAGAGAGAGAGCGGCCCCGAAATTTCGTAAAACCATAGTGTCTCGTGCATCAACCCGGTCCCAAACGCTCCTCCCCCAACAGCCTTTAGAACCCATCGATTATCCGTTGGATTCGTCGGGTGTCGGGTTCCCATTAACGAGAGCGGGAAAGACAATACGGTTCTTAACTTGGCTACCTTACGCCGCTGAAATACATCACCGTCGTGTAATAATTAGGTACGCTCCGTCGGCGATTCGCAATTTATCTCTTGGAGCGTCGACTAGACGTTGGGCGAAATAGAAAGAGCAAGTGAGAGAGAGAGAGAGAGGATGGATGAAATACAGATACAAAAGGAGATGAGAAGAGAGGGGAGAAGAAGGAGGAAGGGAGAGATGCAGCGAAAATTCGAACGAGGTCCTGCCGCGAGCCTAATCTCAAGATATGTGTGTCGGGAATCACGAATCTCCGGATCTGAACAATGAAAACACGGACACCGTACACAGGCGATTAGGAGGAACGAAGAGAGAATAGGATAAACTTGGTCGATCAGTCGGCCGGCTGCGCCTCGCGAGGCCTCGAGCGGATTCGCTGCCACGGGACCGAAAAAGCTGCGAATCTGACTAATCCCGAGCCGTCTGCTCCCGTTCCTTGTCCCTCGTTCCGTCTCCCGACTTCCGTCTTCCGTCTTCGTCTCCTAAACGGTTCTTCCGCGCCGCCGCTTCCTCAGCAGTGATATGCATAGAACAGCGAGGCCAGCAGCCATAAGGCCCCTGTGCCCTGCGACCCGAACCTGCCCCCGACCCCGTTCCTGCCGGGTCGTTTGCGCTTCGGCTTCGGCTTGGCGCGGCGTCTCCGCGAGAAGATCGCGTTCGTCGAGTTTGTCGGCGAGTCGATGTTGCAGTAGCTCAGGTCGCAGCAGCTGATGCACACCTGAAACGAAATAACCGAATTTATTTTGACCCGAGAGCCACCGGCCTCTCTCCTTTTTTTTTTTATCGACGAGCTCTCTGCGATCTTTCGGGGATGAGCGAGAGAGGAGGAGAGAGAAAGAGAGAGAGGTAGAGAGAGAGAGAGAGAGAGAGGAGAGACCGGCTCGATCAGGTGGCACGGAACAAAATTCGCTATTTCGCACCTGCTGCGTGTCCACCGGCACGCAACCCACCGATGCCGGGCCGCATTCCTCGCTGCTCGCGCAGCTCTTGCTCACCTGAAACCGGAACATCGGTTGTTTCACACCTGCCGTCGAAAGGGATCGGGATCTAGGGTGGCTCTCGTCACGGTTTCCGAGGAGAACCGTCCTTCTCCGGTTGCTACGAAATTCGAGAGCAAGATCTACGACGAACACTTTTTCGTTTCGTCGCGCAAGGGATCCATCCGTGATTTTACCGCGGCGATTCTTTGCGCACTTCTCAACCTACTTTCCCGGTATGGCCTCTAACGCACGATCTCCGCAGGGCCATTCCGATAGTGCACAGGATGACGCAGTTCTCTCCGGGCAACGATCACGAAAGTCGCGCACTCGTTAGGGAAGTTCGATTTAGCCGGAATTCGACTTGATCCTCTCGTATGCGAACGAACTTTACGTTCAAAGAACTCGATCTTTCCTCGTCGTTTCTACGAACGAACGTTACTGGGTCGGGTCGAGGTTATCGGTGCACGGTGAAAATGGGCTGACCCAATTAGCGCGGCTCCATTCGAAGCGAACCAAAGACATTTTTTGCAACATTTGTGTCCGCCACGATCGACGTCCCATCGCGGCTTTGGCGTAAACGCGCTAGCAAAAATCAAGGAATTTTTCGACGGTCGAACTCGGATAGATAGGAACGGCAATTTCGTCGGATCCCGGGCAACACGGAGGGTTAAGTCGACCGGCATTTTTCTCCGCGATCTTTTGTCTCGTGTACGCGGATTCTCCACGCCCGCGGTTCTCGATCCCGGTACTCGATCCTTCACGGGAGAATAACTTTTTTCACGGAATATCCCGGTCCCGGACCATCGATCCCGTTCTCTCGGCCTGTTTAATTCATAGATCTCCGATTTCCTGTACGTAGGATATTCATCGTTACGATTACAGCCGGTTGCCAGGCGGTCCCTGCGCTGCTCCTACTCCCACGACCACTCTCGCCCCTCTTTTCCCTTTCCTCGTACTTTTTTCCGAGAATTTGCCGGAACTTTCCAGCTGAATGGAACTTGCTAGCCGCAATTCCGCCATCCGGAATTGCTATTCTTTTACTTGGAAGAACAGGACGGAACGAGATTGCGCGACGCGGAGCTCCCGGTCGACGACCGCCGCCATTTTCTGATTATCAAGGTTTCTCGTTTATGCAGAATTAAGGATTCTTCGGGACCCTTTCCGCGGAAATGATCTCGCTCGACTTCGATGCTCGCCATCTCTGGATTTCCTCTTTTAAACAACGACGAAATCAACGGTTGCGTGAAAAATTTGGAGGTGTTCGGCGAGCGTTGGCGTGCTTCCGGCGATAAGGTGCACCGTGGATTTCGAAATTTGTAGCGGATTTGTAGGAAATCGATCGAAGTTACGGCGAAAGTGACCACGGTTTATTAATTTTCCAACGCGATTTCGAATTTTCTTTCGAACCAAAGCGTGCCTGTCTCGAAGCGCGATCTCCCAGCTTCGATTCGAGCCCTCGAAAGTTTAGAAATTCCGATGGGAATACAGTCCGAAGTCCGAAGTCGCGTCGAAGTAACCCTCTAAAATCCAGTGATTTGTCTCCGCGTTGTCGACCGAACAAACTGTTTCGATCGTCGTCGAATTTTTCGAGGGAATACCGACGATATTTCGCGAGCTCGAGAGCTTTGCGAAGACTTCCCGGAGTCGTTGATCACGAGTGATACTTCATTTTTCCATTCTCGGCTTTTCAGCTCGTGACAAACGCTGAGACGGCTTTAATCACGGCGGAATCGCGCGACCATTAATATTTCCGCGCGAGATATAGCGCGGGTGCATTAAGCGTTGCCAAACTTTTAAGCAGCACCGCGGATCCATGAATCCTTGTCTTTCTCTCGCCGCGTTGCGTCGGGCCGTGCCGCGCCGCGATGGTTCGGAACAATGCCGGGTTGTCCATTGAAATCGAACATTAATTAAAAACGTTCATGAATATATGCAGATCGTTTTGCGACCGGTTGTTTTGCCCGAGGAAAAATACCAAATCCGCGAGCGTCAAGCATTCATGAAAAATGCATGAGCGCGTCTTTGTCTTTCTTGCGTGCCGGTATGCACGCGTACATGTGGCATGCATGTACGGGACGGGACACCGGGCCCGTCGATGCGCTATTAAAAACATTTTTACACGCGGCAGTAAAACTAATCTCGAGTCACTCCGCGAAACAACGGGAGAATCGATCGATGTTTAAAGGCGAGTAGACAACCGCGGATTTTGAAGCGCGCCGGACATTGGAATTCGTAAAATGCTAGATGCCGGCCGAGAATCGTCCCGCGTCACCTGTCGCTCTTCCCACGGGCTGGTTACGGTATCCAGGAATTAATTAACCGATCGACGAGAGGAGAGGAAAGGCTCTCCACCGGCCTCTAATTAATATCGATGCTCGTAATTGGAAGAATCGAGAATGTGCTTATCCGAGTGCTAATGGCGTTAAGCCTCCGAAGACGAACGTCTCTGGAGACCCCCGAGGCGATTATGTCTTCCCAACCTTTTACGAACGCTCGATCATTTTTCCTTCCGATTAATTCGGGAGCGTTCTCTTCGCGTTCGCGGCTAGAGGCACGCGAAATGAAAATTTATCGTGAAAATTCTGACGCGATTCCACTCTGGTTTTACTTTTGTTGCTTTTAGCAGCGTTCGAAAATCTAATCGAGAGGAAGGCGTTGCCAGCGCTTCGCGCGGATAATATTTGTACAAATATTTCTTTACCGAGGTTCTAGAATTAATTCGATCGTTTTAACGCAGAATTTGTGCCGAAATAACGCGAAATGGGTTGATTAATAATCAACGATGCTATAAAATGCTTCGATTCAATTTGAAATTACCTCCACGTTGCATTAGCAAACGAGCACGAGAAATTTACGTGTTCGATTCGTTATTTCGACCGAACGGTTTTAATACGCGTTAACGGATAATTCTTCCAAAATTCTAATGCACTGGATGGAGGAACCATCCCCTTTATAATGCAGAATGCGGGCACGAATGTATTCTTTTAATTTCGTTTACGCGAACTTTTTGAATCGTTTGGAAGTATTCGAAAAATCTAGTTTTCTCGTTTCGCGACAGTTTTAAGATCCGAACACGGAATTTTTAGTTAACGTAAACAAATTCGAAGGAACCGCAGGTCTGCGGGCTTCGAAAAGAAACGTTTCCCCGATACGTTGCAGCAACAGCTCGATTTCTAAATGCATTTTCCAGAGCGACTGACACGATATCTCAAAAACCAAATATCCGATTTACTTCAATCTTGGCGAACGTCTTCGGCAGACGTTCCGTTCCCATCTGAACTTCGATCAACCGAATATTCGCAAGATTTGATCCTTGCAATTTAAAAACTCCGATCTTCTCTCATAAATCGAAATCGTTTCTCTCTCGATCGCTGTCACAATTTCTGTCTTCCATTGCTCCCTAGTTTACCTAAAATAGTCTGCTTCGAGCTGCACTTGTACGGATGAAAGATCTGTCAATTCTGATGGCAACTATCGAAAAATGCTGATCACACCCCGGTCAAAATTCAATCGCGACCGTAGCTACAATCCATGGTTTTGCATAGAAAAATTTCGTCGCACTTCTCGAAGCCTATCCAAATCTGCTAGCAAAATTTCAAGTTGCCACGTCCGTTGAATTCGTCGCAAAAAATTGGCGAACGTCGTACTCGGCCATCGGAGCAGGATTAACGAGCGAGCGGAGCTCGCGATTAGGCGAGACTCGAGGCAAATTCGCGAATGATTTTCATCGGAGTCGCATGGTCGCTTCTCGGCCAACGCACGCCGGCCCTGTTGATTTAATCGCGCCGACCCGACACGGTTAAATCGCGTCGTGGAACGAGAAACGTGGAACGAGAAACAAGCGTGGAGGAACGCGAGCGTCGCACCGCGGGTCCGCTTTGAACGCAAATTCCGCTCGTTCCTTTCGGCGTCGAACGCCTGTCGCTTTTCTCAATGGAAACTATCGTACGGTTTCCCTCGGGTTCGACAAACTGCCCGGAAACGCCCGAATAACCTACAATTACCGTAATGAATTAAAAGGAAATTCCTATTCGAGGAAATGGGGAAGTTGTCGACTGTGGAATCGAAACTTTTCCGCGGAAAATTGTTCCGCTCCGAACACTCCGGCAACTTTGCGCAACGATTCCGCATGTTTTGCATCGTTACTCTATTTTTCCCGATGTTTGCAGTGTTCGATTCGGTTCATCGATTATTTCGTTTTATCGGGCGGTTCTTTGAACCGGGCAGTCAAAGGTTTTCTCAATCGATGCCGCAAAAAGAAAGGCACGGGAGGTCTGCCGGAGGAAAAGCCGATTTCGTGGAAATTATGTTTATGTTTTGCTAAAACGAGATGAATTTTTATGCGAAAAGGTAAAGAAATCTTATGGGGCAAATCAAAGGAGAGCAGAAGATCGAGAGGAAAATAAATTAAACGGTTAAGAGAACTCGGGTGTTTTTGCCGGTGTATCGTCGATGTTTATAGAAGTTTACGTTTTAACAAAGTAATTTATGAGATTGGTGTAAAGATTCGTTGCCTCTTCGAACGAGTTCATTAGACGAAAGTGTTTGCTTTTACCGGTACCTTTTCTACCGTTGTTTGTTGTTGGTTTCTAGATCGTTTCCAATCGAAGTTACACCGTTGCTTTATCAAATGATAACGAAAAAATATTTATTACCAGTTACTGTCGCTCATTAGTTTCGATAGAAGATGCAGCAATTGGGTTCGATAAAATGTTAGAAAATTCTGATTACCGGTAAAATTTTTCAAGAAAACTTTTCGGAGCGCGCGGTCTCGAATCAAAGTTGAAATTGAAGTTCCAATAACTGTGGCAACGGAACGTAATTAATATTTTTCATGGTTGCTCGCACGAACCGTGATTTCACGCTCGGGAAAGTTTCGGAGCCCCTCGTCCTGAACCTTTAATCGATTAAGTCAAATGTAGCCCAGCGACGCGACTCGACCGAAAATTCGACAGCGTTGTTGGTCGTGTAATAACGCGTTCCGGTAGACGAAGCACCGAGTTCCCTTCGAAATTTTCCCCCTCGTCTCACAGAATACGTATTCTTCTCTTAATACACGTGTACAGATCGGCGCGAGGTTGCTCAACAGGTAGTTCCTTGCCCTTTGCCGCAATTTTCGCTTCTACAATTACGTCGCTGGGCGTTCAACTTTCCGGACACAGTGGCGTCGCGGTCGGCCCTCTAACTTAAAAATACCCGTCCGCGCTCGGTCACCGTCGAAAGTGCTAATTAACTGCCCCGTTTGATCACGAAAACCTCGGGAAATCTGCCGCGAACGTCAACAGAAAATTAATTTTCATCCCAGGCTCTCTGGATCATATTTCTGCAAGCTCGTAACCGGCGATAAACATTGAGAACGTCGGTCGACCGCGAGACGTTCGCGCAACAATTTTTCTACAGTGTTTAACGAATACGAATACGTTCGTGGGGGGAACGCAACGATGGCTCCAGCCGATTCATGGAATCAGAATTTCATGGTCTGTCCGCGGATTATTTCTCGAATGCATAGAGCGCATTTAGAATTAAAGGTTTCATTTAGAGGCTCTGAAAATTTATGAAGCACTCTCCGAACGAAACAATCGCTTTTGGAGAGCACGATGCAGATTCTCGAGAAGATTTCCAAAGCAGCAAACTTTTAGCAGCGAACCGATGAAATAACAACTTTTTTTCACCCGTTTGGAAACTGCAGCGCGGTTGCAGCTACGGCGAATCGCGAACGCATTCATCGTTAAAAGACTACGGATATTTGCAACGGTTCTGCATCAATTTCAATTTCCTGCTGCCGTAAAACGAACAGAAAAGATTATAAAACCGCAAAATTTTGCAGTCGATTCGTCGAACATTTTGCGACGAGCCGAGTTAATTAATATATAAAGGATAAAGCGGATCGTTCGCGCGTAATCGGTCAAAGCCGAAGGAAAAGGGGAAATACGCGACGATTTTAACCAGCAGAATATTTCGTATTCCGGAGAGGAAGAGAGTCGGTTTCAAGCTCTCCGTCAACAACGTGCCCCGGAGAAAACGTTTCTCCCCGTCCGTTCAATTAGCAATTCTTCATTAAGCCCGAGTGTACGATACACGGACGAGCTCCCGATGATTCCCGATTACTCGGGTCCAAGATCACCGGGTCGCTAATTAATCGCGAGTGGAAGCCCAGGCGAGTCGCGAAAGGAACGAGCCTCGGTCGGTCACGAGTCACGATCCGCGCGACCACGATTACGTCTACAGTTCGCGTGATCGTCGACGATTCTCCGCTAATATTTCTTGGCAGAGACTGCCGGAGCAGCCTTCGAGGGCGCTGCGAACAAATTTGCTTGCCAAGACGCTGTTTCCTTTGCTGTCCAAAATGTGCAGCGATCTGCAGAAGTCCCGGCCGGCCGCCGGACACGGCGTGTCTATCGCCCATTCGTTGCACATCTGCGGACAAAGAGAAAGAACAAAAGAGAGAGAGAGAAAGAGGAGAAATAGTTGGGGGTGCGACGATCAGGGGAAATTTAAGTGGACCGCGGCCAGCTCGACTTTTTCTCCTTTTTTGCTGAGAGTCCATCTCCTTTGTAAGCCTCTGTAAGGTTTATAGTGGCTGATCAAATTTCCATAGTTAATCGAAAGCGTTGCTGTTATATCCGATTCTTTTGGAAAACGTCTAATACACGTGTATCGGTATGCGCACGGAATCTAGACGATAAAATTAGTCAATGATGTGGAACAAAGGTTTTCTTCGGCGTGCTTTCGTTTCCGAGATATTCGGATTTGGCGATTGGTTCGCCGCGCGTGCCGATGAATAAGAAGGGGCTGGCGTGTCTGATCATAATTTACCGTTTCTACTTCTTGCGGATATCGTCGATCCCAGTTGGATAAACTTTCAAAGTCGCCTGTCTCCGAAACAAAGACGGCTATGGAAGTACCATGAACTATACTTATCGACAGATTGTTCCGTGTCGAATCCTCGGAGCGGATTGTACGCATTCGAAGATGAACGTTTGAAAGACAAGACGATGAAAGTATCTTATTATAGTATCTATTCGCGGCTCGATCAGCCACGGTCCACTTAATATCAACTTGCTCGGGAAACGAAACGGAAGCACGAAAAGCTGCAAAGCTCGGTAGGGACGCACGGTTCGTTAGATAAGCAGAAGCTCGCCGCATTATGATATCTGGGCTGATCGAGGTTGCGGGGGTGGCGCTGCCTAAAAATCCTTGGGGTTGAAACGTAACCGAGCGAGTCGGTTCGTTCCAGCCGAACGCTCGCGACAACTGTATCGCCTTTAGAAACTTTGGGCGGCCGCCGTCGAACTCGAGGAAAGGCAGCAAACTGAGAAAAGTGGGAAAGAAAAGAAGGAAAATAGAAGGAATATTGGGAAAGCTGCCGGCGGGCCGACGGTAGACCAGGTGAATTCCCCGGGAAGATATCCGGTGTAAATCGAGGCTGGCCTGATTTCCAGCGGGCCTCCTGCGTTCCGCGCTCGGCGCACGGCACGCGGTGTTTCGACGGATATTGGCAGCGACGCGAGACGGGACTAATGCAATGACACGTTCATTAATTCTGATACGTATCAATTTTGCGTGGAGAGGGCTGCGCGTTAAACAGATACACGGGGCCGTTCTTTATTGCGTTACACGGTGCTTCGGACTACCGTTATTAATTACGGGATCGCGCCGGGGAATTCGAGGCTGCGCGCGTCGAATATCTACTGGTACCCATGGAAATCTAGCGGAAACCACCGCGGGGATCGATTGATAGCGGTCGAAATCGCAACGGGTAAAATGCTAATGACTTATTAAGCCTCGAAAATGTGCCGCTGGGATAATTAATATTTGCTTTGGAACACTGACCAGGTTTCCCGGTTCATATCGGGCGTCGCTAATTATTTGTATCGCTAAATTATTTTAGCGAACGATGGATGCGCAGTTTCATTGTTGGTTCGTTAATATTTACCGATGACGAATTCGAGGACGGTCGAGAGACCGAGAAACCCATTCCGGGTTTGTCGTTGCAAATGGCGAACGTGAAGATCGTCGGGATCGATTCGATCCTGTTCGCAACGATATCTGTTCGAGATGAATTTAAAATGGTTCGAGACGTTGGAAAATGTTTTTCGAACCGATGCAGCGAATATCACGTTTTTCTTCATTTTGTACGATCCTGCGAGCGGAGATTTTACGCGATCGCTACTCCCTGGCAGAAAGTGTTTAAACAACGGATTAACGCGGCTGCTGCAACAATTGTTTTGGCAAGGATTAAAAGTGGAAAATACTGGCGCGCACGAAGTACGGGGACGAAATAAAAGGATAGGCCGTAATTTATGCAAATATTAACGAGGCAGCGAATACAGCGATGCGTTTACTAAATATGAAATAATGTAACAGCCTCTATAACGAGGACGCTGCGAAGCGAAGTAACGAGTGCGCGGTGGCGCACGATATTAAAAACTTGTTGATTCTCTCGATTGAATGGTCGTCGTGCCTGTCTTTACGAACAAAGAAGGGTGTTCGCTGCGCTACGAATATTTTTGCGCGCGAACGTTCCCGTTTACATTTCCGGAGGGACGCAGTTTCTATTTTGCCCAAGCACGGTGTCTGTCAATTTTTCCGCGTGAACGAACATTTTAATATTCCGACTCATTAAAATTCAAGTTGAAATTGAATAAGCGAAGTTCAGCCGGAATATTTCGTTGCAGCGGATATGTAAAACAGAGTTATCGCACCGATGAAACAACGTGGCTCAATCGACAAAATGAAAACGCGCTGCGGATTAATTAAAAACGTTGTTCCTCGGTATTCCTTTGCGACAAGTTTATTAACAAAATTCCTCGACAGCGCGGAGTAATGAGCGCAAATTCTAGCGCATTAAAAATAACGATCTCTCCAATTTTATCTCTCGCACGAGTACCGTAAACGTCTGTGTGTTGCCGCATCGTTCGCTCGGCACTTCGAGCATTTTTTCACGCCATCGGCAACTTCGTTAAATTCGCGCAATAATGCGCTCGAATTGCAAGAAATGTTGAAAAAACATTCCCTGGAGAAGTAAATAAAAGTATCGCGCGCGGAAGGACCGTGCGAATCCCGGCGAGATTTCCCAACGAAACACAAAGTCCCGGAGAGCCGCTTTGAAACGATTCGGCCGGTCGCATTTTCAGCGTGCTTAAGTCGCGAAAAAGCTGTATCTCCGCTTCAACCACCGATGCAATCTTGTCGCCCATTACTGCGATTCCAAAGAAACCTGCTTTAACCCGTTCGCCAAACAACCCGAAAGCCCTTTCGGTTCGACGGTCTCGGTCTCTCTCGATCTCGCGTCTCGGGCCTCGAGGGAAGCTATCTCTCGAAAGCCGGGTGTCCCTATCGATCATTTCCGTAAGCGGTAACGCGGCTACAAACGAAACAGAGCCTGGGAAGTCTGCTCACCTCCCGATATCGACGCGATTCCAATCTTTCGTAGCCGGCGAGCTCTCGAGACGTCGCGTCTCCGTCGAATAGGAAAATGAAATGCCGTGCCGCGCCGCCGATCGAACGCGAATCTTGCCCGATTTTCACGAAACACGGTGGAATAAGTAGCGAAGTCGTCGCAGGAATTTTAGGATAAAGACGAGGACGTGGAACAAAAATTCCATTTACTTGCTTCCTCGATTTGCCGCAACTGAAATCGAATATTTAGCAACATCGATGCGCAACAGCGAAGCATGAATTGTTAAAAGTTGGGAAATAATCGTCGGTAAGCGGCGAGCGACGGGGCGTTCGGGTGAACAGCGGGAACAGGCTGAAATTTTGGTAGATCGGCGAAGGAGGGAAACGGCAGCGGGGGAGCATAAAGTAAGGGAAGATCGATGGCAGCCAGGGTCCTCGTTGGCCGAACGAACTTGCGGCTGGACCGTGCGCGATACAGGCATTAGCGACTCTTAAGGGGGCGTTTAATGGACTCGTCGATACCTGGTTATCGCTGACGTTGACGCAAGTGTAGCACGTTAGACCTGGAACACAACACAGATGGGGCGTTCGAGTGAGTAATAGCGTTGCGGAGACGGCTCGGCTTCGACCGCGAGACAAAGGGCGGAGAGAGGCAACAATTAAACACGCTTAGGCGTTCCGCCACCCGTTTCTCCCCCCTTGCCGCACGCCCCCGCGCTCGTTCGATAGAATTCCGCGCTCGGTACACTCAACGTTCACTGGATGGGAGAGGCTGGAATGGATTGTCCCGTCGAATGGAACTCGTATAGACGGCACCCGACGCGACTCGACGCGACGCGACGGATCGCGCCGCGCGACAAAGCGTTCCGCCTCGAAGCGCGTCGCTTAAACGGAGAGCCACGCGAGCCAAATTCTCCGACCACTCCGCCCCCGAACTGTCCGCGTAATTAATACTTTGCGCCGCGGACCTCGTCTGCTCGCCCGCCCCGCTCTCGCATCCTCTTTTCAGGATGGATGAGATTTCTGGTGCAGGGGCACGAGGGTACAGGGGAGGAGGCTTTCGATTGCTGTATATGGATTGCTGTATATTCACCGATTAGAATCGGGAGATTCACGTCGACGATCGCGATCAGCTTCGAAATAAGCTCGAGCAAACGGACCTACGATTTTATTTCGCAAAGTTGCAACGGTTTAAGCATCGAGCATTTTTCAGCAGATATTTAAGAAAGCGACTGGCAAATTGTTTCCGGGAATAGAAGAGGTGCCTTTCGAACGTTTGACTGGAAGGCTCGCCGAATTGCACGATCGAGGTGTGTTAGGTAGTTTGCGAGGGTGCGAAGCTTTTCTCTTTTATTTGGAAGTCGAGCTTCAAAGACGGCAGTTGCCTTTGATACGCGTTACCCGCCATCCTTGTGGGAACAAGGAGCTTTTTTTCGGGTAAAGTGGACCGTTTGGGAGTGCGCTAACACCAGGGGTTCGCTTGAAAAATATTTGGTTACCAGAGGTGGTTGTTGGACTCTGGGTCTTTACGCGTTCGGAGCCGAGTATCCTCGAACCTCGAAATACTAACAAATTCTAGAAATTCGTCTTCTTTTTTTTACGATATTGCGGTTCACGGTATCTAATTTTATTCATTTAATAGGCCACCTCTTATTTCTAAAAAACAAATCAATAATGGAACGAGCTGGAAATGCCTGGTTGGAGGAGCTGTTTAAAATCTGTTGCACGGAGAGTCCGGTGAAAGCGAGTGAAAAACGGGTAGCATGTTAGAACAGCAACAAAGGGCGTCCACGACGGCATAAAACGCGCGCTTCTACATGTCAAAACAAATAAAACAAAACCGTGGAGGAAGGAAGGAGAGAGAGAGAGAGAGAGAGAGAGGGAGAGAGGAAGAGAGAAAGGTCGAGAATAAAGCAGCCCGGCAGTGCGGTTCGTTTTCAAGAAAATCGAAGCGGAAGACTCGCGGGGCACGCGTGCTTCCAGCAGAGTTGGCTAATGCGTCTGACCGCCGCCGACTGTTTCCACTTAGCATGAATGCAGACAGTCGAGCATTGTTATCTGTTTCTCGCAGATCCTATCATCCGCTAGCTGCGAATTCGCGTCAAATTATCGGGTAAACTGCTATCGCGTCTATGTAAACGCGAGCGTAGATTAATCCCGGTAGAAGCAACCGTTAATGGTCGGAGCTGGAATCAAAACCGTGCAACAACGGTATTTGCGAACAACGTTCTTCCAAATTGTTTCGCAGGACACATTTAACCGCTCCCTATCAAAAGTCGTGCGATAGCTATGCAAATGAAATGATCGATCGACGCTCTGTAGCTCCCGCCTTGATCCACGAAATCGTCGGTGATCCGCGAATCAACGTCAAATTATCAAACAAATTGATCTCGCGTTACAGCCTACTTTAGCATCGGAGCTTCGCCGGTGGAAACAGCGATTAACGATCTGCCCTAAAATCGGATCGCTAGCCTCGCAACGATTCCAACTCTCTTTAATTCTCGAACGCGATCGGTCGAATCGACAGCGAATTATCGGCGAAATTGGCGTCGCGCGTCGCTTGTCGCTGCGAATCGGTGCGAGTAGAAGCGGTCGTTAACGGTCAGACGCGGGCCTCGATATTCTTCTAAACAGTTTCGCGGGACAGCTTTGGCTGCCGTTTGCGCGCGGAATGATCCGGGTAACCGAAACGGGCGGATGCGTAAAGCCGGAAAAAGTGGAAAGGCGCGTGCTCGTGGACCGGCGCGCGCGTCGATTAAGCGAGTTCGGCCGGTCAGGTCGAAAGAATATCCAATCAAAAATACGTTTTCGCCGTAAATCGGTCGCGCAAAACGGCTTCTGCCGTCGGGGGAAAGGGCGACGCGAGGCCGACGCGAGGGCAGCGTCGCGCCGCCGGGATCGGAGCGAAAGCAACACCGAAATTTAATGGCCGGCCAGAGCATAAAAACCGGTCGTTCCGTTTCAACGAGCGGAGAGCACGGGATTACGCTGATCCTTTTTGCACCGGTGTCGGCCATATATCCGGGCTGGATCCCCGCGTTTACGCGGTCGATCTCTCGAGTTCGTTTCCGGCCGCGTCCGCGTTCCCGGCTACTTATCGGCCTCGGCGACGTTTTAAGAAGCTTGGCAGCGGCCTTCGCCCGACGCGATATTTCAGGACAATATGTTACACCCGCGTCTCAGACTCTACACCGGGTGATCCAGGCAACCGGCCGAGCCGCGCGAGTCCGGAAATCTCGGGCTCCAAAAATCGTACGACCAAATTCCCTGGTTTTATCGGGGTAAGCTTGTGAAAAAAGCTCCGTGGGTTTTTTTTTGCGCAAGGATTTTCACGGAGAAGCGCAACTGCGCACCGTTTTTAACAACCGGACACTATTTTTTAGTATTTTTTTGCGATGCAAGCTTTGGTTCTATTCGAGGAAGTATTACGAGGCGCGCGCGGCTTAAATAGTTTCCAACAATTTGTCGGAAAATGTCGCGCAGAATTTTCTACCGCCTATCCGAACGCGTACCTTTCGAAGGGAATCGCTTCTAAAACCTTGGACGCGTTTTCCGGTTAAATGTTTTCGATTAGAAAAATCGCGTCGATGAAAACGTCGAGATGTTCCGCGAGACTCTCGATCGTCGGTTTCTCTGGCTAAGAACGAGGTGCTTTTCGAAGGAATCAGACGTCTGGCGCGAGTTGCGTGGAGCACCCTGTAGATCGAGAGGATGATTTGTGGCGGGTCGTTGGCGCGGAAAGCTCGGAGTAGCCGGCAGGATCTTTCGTGCTGCAGATCGCAAGGAAGTGGGATTAGTGGGGCTCGATTGCAGGATTCGAGTGGGCCTCTGCGCGGGGACCAGGGGGGGACATAAGCTACTTCGAGTTACTCGGAGGGTAAATCATAGATCCGTTTGCTTCTCTCCCCGGCCGTTTTCTCGACGTCTTCTTCCGCTTGCTTCTTCCTTGCCTCCTCGGATCTAGCCTGGTCCGTCGACGACGACGCCCGTCGACGCGCTCTGCTCCGAAACGGTCCTCCGACGATGAGAAACTATCGTACTTTCTTGTCGCGAGGAAAGCTCGCCGAAAGCTCCTGAATGTAATTCAACTTTGAAGCGTATAGATCATCGATGTTAAGTTACTATACGAGATATTCGATACCGGAGTAGGATTATTTGGGTGAAAGTTTCGACCGTTTCTGTCAAAATATTATAGTAGACGCAAAAATGTCTTCTTCGACGCGACAGCGACGCTTTAAAACATAAATGAACGAGTCAATATTTGCATCGATCCGATCGAATTCGTTTGTACGTCTAACAGATAAAGTACCATTTATGTTGCGCAGACCAAGATTGGTCAACAATTAGATAATCGAAGCTAAGCCCTGCCAACTCCACGATCATCGAAACGATTACTTTTCCGAATGCTAAACGATGATACGAGCATGCAAATGGGGCGGGGGATTTTCGAGAGCAAACAAATGGTAATAACGTTGGGTTTCTCGCGGTCGGACGACCGTTCTGATACACTCGGTGACCTTGGTACCCACGGTAGACGTCTTCCTCGTCGCCGGTGAGTCCTTTGAGACCGTCGCCAGGCTGCGTCTCCTCCTTTCCGTTACCGTTACCGTTCTCGTTCCCGTTCCCGTTTCCGGATAGGACGTTTCTGCCGCAAGTTTCCGCAGCCAGGAGCAGCCCGACCATCACCCACGTGATCATTCCTCACATCTCTGGAATGACAGAAATGGGGCTGCGTGTTACGTAATTGACCGCCAAGTCTCTTCCGCGGTCGCCGCGACCACCGACCGGTCGGGCAACGACCGATCGAATGGATATTCGAGCGGTATCACGGCTCCTGATATCTACTAGACGCATCTTTGCAGTTATCCGCAACAGTTTATCGCGATACACCGCAAATCTCGTACCAAACAGAATACAGTAATGTCTCTCTGATCGACGCTCGGATTGTCCACAGAAATGGACAATTTGGGAAGAGGAGATACGATTGTTTGAGCTTCGCGGTTCGTTTTTATAGTTGTCGACAATCGATAACCTGTCTCTTATACACATCTAGATGTGTATAAGAGACAGGTCCACAGAAATGGACAATTTGGGAAGAGGAGATACGATTGTTTGAGCTTCGCGGTTCGTTTTTATAGTTGTCGACAATCGATAACCTGTCTCTTATACACATCTAGATGTGTATAAGAGACAGGTCCACAGAAATGGACAATTTGGGAAGAGGAGATACGATTGTTTGAGCTTCGCGGTTCGTTTTTATAGTTGTCGACAATCGATAACCTGTCTCTTATACACATCTAGATGTGTATAAGAGACAGGTCCACAGAAATGGACAATTTGGGAAGAGGAGATACGATTGTTTGAGCTTCGCGGTTCGTTTTTATAGTTGTCGACAATCGATAACCTGTCTCTTATACACATCTAGATGTGTATAAGAGACAGGTCCACAGAAATGGACAATTTGGGAAGAGGAGATACGATTGTTTGAGCTTCGCGGTTCGTTTTTATAGTTGTCGACAATCGATAACCTGTCTCTTATACACATCTAGATGTGTATAAGAGACAGGTCCACAGAAATGGACAATTTGGGAAGAGGAGATACGATTGTTTGAGCTTCGCGGTTCGTTTTTATAGTTGTCGACAATCGATAACCTGTCTCTTATACACATCTAGATGTGTATAAGAGACAGGTCCACAGAAATGGACAATTTGGGAAGAGGAGATACGATTGTTTGAGCTTCGCGGTTCGTTTTTATAGTTGTCGACAATCGATAACCTGTCTCTTATACACATCTAGATGTGTATAAGAGACAGGTCCACAGAAATGGACAATTTGGGAAGAGGAGATACGATTGTTTGAGCTTCGCGGTTCGTTTTTATAGTTGTCGACAATCGATAACCTGTCTCTTATACACATCTAGATGTGTATAAGAGACAGGTCCACAGAAATGGACAATTTGGGAAGAGGAGATACGATTGTTTGAGCTTCGCGGTTCGTTTTTATAGTTGTCGACAATCGATAACCTGTCTCTTATACACATCTAGATGTGTATAAGAGACAGGTCCACAGAAATGGACAATTTGGGAAGAGGAGATACGATTGTTCGAGCTTCGCGGTTCGTTTTTATAGTTGTCGACAATCGATAACAGCTCGGTTAGAGAGACATTACCGAATCGATTAACATGAGAACGTTCGAAAGAAGCTCGGAAAGTATCCAAAGGTAATTAGGTAAAGCTTTTGTAGATATCTCGAACGCGGTGTAGGATCAAATTTTTAACATTAAACACGTATTTACCGGATCAACGGGAAGATGGCGCGGATAAATATGTTGACACGATGCAGTAATTGGACCGCGGATTTTGTCGGGGTGAAAATAGTGTACAGATTTATCGACTTATTAAAATGATCAAGGCAAGAAACAAATTGTTTTCTCGATACCAGCAGCTTGCAATTTCTTGAACTGAAAGTTCTCGATCTTGAAAGAAAAAGAAACAGAAAGTAGATCGAGGATCTATTTCGAAGAACGAAACGATTCCCGAGAATTGCAAGGAACGAGAGTAAAATGGAAATTGATATTACAACAATATCAGCGGACGTTTGTCCAGGTTTCCGCCGGTATCGTGTTTCGTCCATTCATTTCTGTGATAAATGCGCGGAATCCGCAGTCGAATAATAAGATAGTCGCACGGCTGCGGCAGCGAAGCAGCCAATATTCTGATAGTCTGCCGTGAAATGCTTCGAGCCTCGAAGGGACGAGTTTCGCCACATTTCTATGTTTTCTCGGATCCTGGATCCAATTTTCTTTTTTCGAGCAGACTGATCCTCCAGGGTGTTCGGTGATAGAACATTAAAGGGGATGAACCGGCGCGGCGGAGGAGCCCCAGCCGCATCGCGATGGGACTCGGTCCAATATGTACTCATGAATATCGGTCGATTCGATATCTAAATCTCGTTTCATTAAGTTTAATGCCCGTCGGGAGCGTGGATCGTTTTTTTTTCTCTCCGCCTCCTAAATATTTCGTTCTCGTTCCATCGAATTTCAAAGCAACCACCGCAAGGAGCATCGCGAGTCCTATAGCGATCGATCGTTCTTTATCCCGGTTATGCTCGAGCTAGAACGGACGAAATGATTAGCATTGGAAACGGAGCGTGTATTAGGACAAGAATTAATATTCTTTTCCGTTGTTCCGGTAATGGACGATCGGACAACCGTTCGCAGCGCGTATCGATGTAACTATTGGAAGATTTCAGGAAACTGCAAAACGGATTTTCGCTCGGCAAAATGAACATTTCAAACTTTATCTCCGGAAGAATGTTTCTGTTCGCGCAGCTGCGGCAATATTGAATCGGCCAATAGCCGGTAATTCTTGACCGGCCGATTTTCCATGGTGCCGTAACTCGCCGGTATCGTGCTCGCGAAAACAAAACGAAAAATGGATATCGTGCGTCAGAGAATTATCGTGGCCCGGTAAATTATTCTTATCGCGGGCGGATACGCGATCCATCGGTGCTTCGACCGTTCGCGATTCGATCGTCGATGGTTTCGATCGCGTGACGAAACGAACAAACGGGAACGTCGGGATAAAAATGGCTGTTCATCGACGGAAATCCGTGGCCGCGGGAACAAACAATGGAAAAATGATGCTCGCGGCGCGTGTACGGGGCATAGGAGAGAGATCGGGAGTTTCAATTCTCTCCGGTTGATCGGAGGATTTATCGTCTTATGGGAATGAAAATGGCTTACGAGCAGCCTAGCCGGCTCGATGGGAACGTCTTTCAGGCAGACCGGGAAGCCCGCGTGGTCGACGGATACAGGAGAATTGGAATCCGGATCAAGAATTACGGAGAAGGTACGGGCCACAGAAGCTAGTTTAAATCCTCGTGGAACACGGGGACCGCAAGGATCGGTCTCTCCTCGGCGAGCTACGCTCGTCGCTCGATTCTCGACTCTCGTTAGTTACAGATGCCTCGACTCCCGGTCTGATCATCCGTCGCCCGCCGAGGGACCCGCTATAATATTTTCTCAAACGTATCGGCAGCCGAACCAAGCTCTTCAAGACTCTTCGATTCCTTCCCGAATCTCCTGGGTGAAGCACCGAACACTGCCGCAACGTTCCTTCTTGTTCCACGATCGTCTCTGTTCCTCGGAACCTTCAATTTCTTCCAAGCTTCGGCGGTGATAAATTCTTCCAGGGCGTCGCGCCGATTCGTACGAAACCGATATGTTGCACGCGCCATTAGAAAATCTGAGACAAAGTCGCGAATCACGCGGAGTTTCCAGGAGCAATTCCAGAGCGAGTTTGGACGATTGGAGGGAATTTAGTAACGGGGAATCTTTCCTTGCAAGTTTATGGTGGGTAAAAGACTTTGCTCTTTACAACGATCACAGGTAGAATATTCGGCGACTTTTTGGCCGATGGTTACGGGCGGTTGAAAGATATATCCGAGAGCATTCTCGTAATTCGATAGAATCTGGCCGAAGGACAGTCGCGATCGGCGATGGACAGGGAAGAGGTTCGCGGCGCGGATCGATGAAACTGTATCGGGGCCGGCCATCGACGAGCCGATCCATAGGGGATGCGGGTGCGATCTAAGAAATACGAGGATACTTTCGGGGTAATGGCCATTACCATTCGTCATCGGGGAAAGAGATTAAAGTTAGCCGGTGTTGGAGCCAGTGACCGCGCCGATGCGGCGATAAAGGGGCGCCATTCGGGAGCTCGTGAATTTCTTGGCGGCCGTGAACACGGTCCGGTGGAACGGCGGGGTTGCTCGTATCCGGCCGAAATATAATCGCGTTACCTCGGCCGTGATCTCGCACACCGTCGAGACTTCACCTGGAAACACTGTATCGATTCCACGGGCCGATATAATCCTTGGACGCCGGCGGCTGTCGGCTACCATTCCGCGAGGCTACGCCAGACAATTGTTAACAGAAGTGTATTGAAAGGATCAGCCTTATCAGGCTGCTGATGGACGGCTCGTATCAAAGAACAGAGGGGGGAGCACCGGGGTAGGACACACTGTGTGCAACAGCTCGTAGCGATATATATTCATCGATCCGTGTTCCATTGATTAAGTGGAACGCGAGCTACCCGTGACCATATCCTGCCGCCGCGCCGAGCCGAGCGGAGCAGCGCCGCGCCGGTTTTAATCGATAGGATTATTCTGTTCCACGCTCGAACTCGCCAATCTCGTCTACGATTGCTCGCCCGTGGCTGCCGATCTAATTCCGCCTCTCTCCTCTCCTCTCTTCTCTTCTCCTCTCGTCTCGTCTTCTCCTCTCTCTCTCTCTCTCTCTCTCTATCTCTCTCTCTTTCTCTCTCTCTCTCTCCACCGTTCGGTCGGATTCGGTCCGATTCGGTCCAATTCGCTCCTCTCGCTCCACGCTCTCCCGTTTTTCGATCGACCGGTGCCAAGCGATCGTTAACGGTAACGAGGGAGATCCGAGGAGTAATCAGTAACGAGGAACTACGCGCGAGAACTAATGATTGCCGAACTGCAACGAATTTTCTCCGCAGCCTCGTCGGGCGACACGCCGCTAAACTTTCCGGGGATGAACACCCGACAGGACGGATTACCGTTGCGGTACGTGTTACCGCGTCCCTTATGTCGATTTTTTCAATTTGCCGATCACGCGCGAATTATACCGCCGGTTTCCTATTCGATTTTTCCGGCAGTTATTCGATCGAAAGGGAATCGAGGTTC